ACCCTATTAATCATATATATTCTTGATCAGAATGAACAGCTGAATCGATCTAGCCATGTCTTGTGGGAAAATAAATTGTTGGATATTTTTCCAAAATTTCAAAAAACGATAAGGGGTTACATCATTAAAATTGTCAAAAATTTGCCAAAAATTGAATTTTTTAAATTCAAAAACTGAGTATGCAGATTTGTTAGCGCTATAAAAATTAGCACAGAACCGCTTTCCGAATTGAAATTAATGCATTTTTGGCTTAATTATGATGTTTGAAAAACATTGATTATTTAATAAAATTGCCTGTTTTTATACCATTTTTCAGGTTATTATAATTTTAGTCAGAATCTTTTAACAGCATCAGCAAACGCAGTACGCAGATTTGTTAGCGATTTAAAAACTAGCACAGAACAGCTTTTCGAATTGAAATTTATGCATTTTTGGCTGAATTATGATATTTGGAAAACACTGATTATTTAAAAAATTGCATGTTTTTATACCTTTTTGTAGAGTATTAGTATTAATCAGAAGCTTATAAGACAATGAAGGAATCATTTCCGACCCTATTAATCATATATATTCTTGATCAGAATGAACAGCTGAATCGATCTAGCCATGTCTTGTGGGAAAATAAATTGTTGGATATTTTTCCAAAATTTCAAAAAACGATAAGGGGTTACATCATTAAAATTGTCAAAATTTGGCCAAAAATTGAATTTTTTAAATTCAAAAACTGAGTATGCAGATTTGTTGGCGCTATAAAAATTAGCACAGAACCTTTTTCCGAATTGAAATTAATGCATTTTTGGCTTAATTATGATGTTTGAAAAACATTGATTATTTAATAAAATTGCCTGTTTTTATACCATTTTTCAGGTTATTATAATTTTAGTCAGAATCTTTTAACAGCATCAGCAAACGCAGTACGCAGATTTGTTAGCGATTTAAAAACTAGCACAGAACAGCTTTTCGAATTGAAATTTATGCATTTTTGGCTGAATTATGATATTTGGAAAACACTGATTATTTAAAAAAATTGCATGTTTTTATACCTTTTTGTAGAGTATTAGTATTAATCAGAAGCTTATAAGACAATGAAGGAATCATTTCCGACCCTATTAATCATATATATTCTTGATCAGAATGAACAGCTGAATCGATCTAGCCATGTCTTGTGGGAAAATAAATTGTTGGATATTTTTCCAAAATTTCAAAAAACGATAAGGGGTTACATCATTAAAATTGTCAAAATTTGGCCAAAAATTGAATTTTTTAAATTCAAAAACTGAGTATGCAGATTTGTTGGCGCTATAAAAATTAGCACAGAACCTTTTTCCGAATTGAAATTAATGCATTTTTGGCTTAATAATGATGTTTGAAAAACATTGATTATTTAATAAAAATGCCTGTTTTTATACCATTTTTCAGGTTATTATAATTTTAGTCAGAATCTTTTAACAGCATCAGCAAACGCAGTACGCAGATTTGTTAGCGATTTAAAACTAGCACAGAACAGCTTTCCGAATTGAAATTTATGCATTTTTGGCTGAATTATGATATTTGGAAAACACTGATTATTTAATGGCTTAATTATGATGTTTGAAAAACATTGATTATTTAATAAATTGCCTGTTTTTATACCATTTTTCAGGTTATTATAATTTTAGTCAGAATCTTTTAACAGCATCAGCAAACGCAGTACGCAGATTTGTTAGCGATTTAAAAACTAGCACAGAACAGCTTTCCGAATTGAAATTAATGCATATTTGGCTTAATTATGATGTTTGAAAAACATTGATTATTTAATAAAATTGCCTGTTTTTATACCATTTTTCAGGTTATTATAATTTTAGTCAGAATCTTTTAACAGCATCAGCAAACGCAGTACGCAGATTTGTTAGCGATTTAAAAACTAGCACAGAACAGCTTTCCGAATTGAAATTTATGCATTTTTGGCTGAATTATGATATTTGGAAAACACTGATTATTTAAAAAAATTGCATGTTTTTATACCTTTTTGTAGAGTATTAGTATTAATCAGAAGCTTATAACACAATGAAGGAATCATTTCCGACCCTATTAATCATATATATTCTTGATCAGAATGAACAGCTGAATCGATCTAGCCATGTCTTGTGGGAAAATAAATTGTTGGATATTTTTCCAAAATTGTCAAAAATTGGCCAAAAATTGAATTTTTTAAATTCAAAATCTGAGTATGCAGATTTGTTAGCGCTATAAAAATTAGCACAGAACCGCTTTCCGAATTGAAATTAATGCATTTTTGGCTTAATTATGATGTTTGAAAACATTGATTATTTAATAAAATTGCCTGTTTTTATACCATTTTTGAGGTTATTATAATTTTAGTCAGAATCTTTTAACAGCATCAGCAAACGCAGTACGCAGATTTGTTAGCGATTTAAAAACTAGCACAGAACAGCTTTTCGAATTGAAATTTATGCATTTTTGGCTGAATTATGATATTTGGAAAACACTGATTATTTAAAAAATTGCATGTTTTTATACCTTTTTGTAGAGTATTAGTATTAATCAGAAGCTTATAAGACAATGAAGGAATCATTTCCGACCCTATTAATCATATATATTCTTGATCAGAATGAACAGCTGAATCGATCTAGCCATGTCTTGTGGGAAAATAAATTGTTGGATATTTTTCCAAAATTTCAAAAAACGATAAGGGGTTACATCATTAAAATTGTCAAAAATTTGCCAAAAATTGAATTTTTTAAATTCAAAAACTGAGTATGCAGATTTGTTAGCGCTATAAAAATTAGCACAGAACCGCTTTCCGAATTGAAATTAATGCATTTTTGGCTTAATTATGATGTTTGAAAAACATTGATTATTTAATAAAATTGCCTGTTTTTATACCATTTTTCAGGTTATTATAATTTTAGTCAGAATCTTTTAACAGCATCAGCAAACGCAGTACGCAGATTTGTTAGCGATTTAAAAACTAGCACAGAACAGCTTTTCGAATTGAAATTTATGCATTTTTGGCTGAATTATGATATTTGGAAAACACTGATTATTTAAAAAAATTGCATGTTTTTATACCTTTTTGTAGAGTATTAGTATTAATCAGAAGCTTATAAGACAATGAAGGAATCATTTCCGACCCTATTAATCATATATATTCTTGATCAGAATGAACAGCTGAATCGATCTAGCCATGTCTTGTGGGAAAATAAATTGTTGGATATTTTTCCAAAATTTCAAAAAACGATAAGGGGTTACATCATTAAAATTGTCAAAATTTGGCCAAAAATTGAATTTTTTAAATTCAAAAACTGAGTATGCAGATTTGTTGGCGCTATAAAAATTAGCACAGAACCTTTTCCGAATTGAAATTAATGCATTTTTGGCTTAATTATGATGTTTGAAAAACATTGATTATTTAATAAAATTGCCTGTTTTTATACCATTTTTCAGGTTATTATAATTTTAGTCAGAATCTTTTAACAGCATCAGCAAACGCAGTACGCAGATTTGTTAGCGATTTAAAAACTAGCACAGAACAGCTTTTCGAATTGAAATTTATGCATTTTTGGCTGAATTATGATATTTGGAAAACACTGATTATTTAAAAAAATTGCATGTTTTTATACCTTTTTGTAGAGTATTAGTATTAATCAGAAGCTTATAAGACAATGAAGGAATCATTTCCGACCCTATTAATCATATATATTCTTGATCAGAATGAACAGCTGAATCGATCTAGCCATGTCTTGTGGGAAAATAAATTGTTGGATATTTTTCCAAAATTTCAAAAAACGATAAGGGGTTACATCATTAAAATTGTCAAAATTTGGCCAAAAATTGAATTTTTTAAATTCAAAAACTGAGTATGCAGATTTGTTGGCGCTATAAAAATTAGCACAGAACCTTTTTCCGAATTGAAATTAATGCATTTTTGGCTTAATAATGATGTTTGAAAAACATTGATTATTTAATAAAAATGCCTGTTTTTATACCATTTTTCAGGTTATTATAATTTTAGTCAGAATCTTTTAACAGCATCAGCAAACGCAGTACGCAGATTTGTTAGCGATTTAAAAACTAGCACAGAACAGCTTTCCGAATTGAAATTTATGCATTTTTGGCTGAATTATGATATTTGGAAAACACTGATTATTTAAAAAAAATTGCATGTTTTTATACCTTTTTGTAGAGTATTAGTATTAACCAGAAGCTTATAACACAATGAAGGAATCATTTCCGACCCTATTAATCATATATATTCTTGATCAGAATGAACAGCAGAATCGACCTAGCCATGTCTTGTGGGAAAATAAATTGTTGGATATTTTTCCAAAATTTCAAAAAACGATAAGGGGTTACATCATTAAAATTGTCAAAATTTGGCCAAAAATTGAATTTTTTAAATTCAAAAACTGAGTATGCAGATTTGTTGGCGCTATAAAAATTAGCACAGAACCGCTTTCCGAATTGAAATTAATGCATTTTTGGCTTAATTATGATGTTTGAAAAACATTGATTATTTAATAAAATTGCCTATTTTTATACCATTTTTCAGGTTATTATAATTTTAGTCAAAATCTTTTAACAGCATCAGCAAACGCAGTACGCAGATTTGTTAGCGATTTAAAAACTAGCACAGAACAGCTTTCTGAATTGAAATTAATGCATTTTTGGCTTAATTATGATGTTTGAAAAACATTGATTATTTAATAAAATTGCCTGTTTCTATACCATTTTGCAGCGATTCAAAAACTAGCACGATCCGCTTTCCGAATTGAAATTTATGCATCAACAAATCTGCATACTAAATTTAAAATTGGCAAAAAATAGATACATTTTACATTTGTACATTTTAAATTGAATATTCAAATAAGTTAACCTAAAAATTAGCACTAAAAAGCTTTGCGAATTGAAATTAGTGTATTTTTGATTAAGTTTTGGTAATTTTAGATTTTAATTTGCTTAGATTTCTTTAATGTGAATTTTAGAGAAACACAAAAAAATTATTTATAAACATGCAATATTTATTTATTTAAGACTTTTTGCTCAATTTCAACACATAATCTTCTTATTCTTCAAAAATTAAATGCAGCTTCTCTCGTTGAACAAAAGAATACAAATACAATACAAATAGGCACAAATATTCAAAACTTAAAGCTTACTGGCACATTAATGCGCTCGTTCTCCATTGACACCGTAATGAGTGGTTCCTTCTCCAGCAAATCACGTCTCGGCGAGCGCAGCAGACGCACCTCAATCTCCGCCTGTCCGCCATCTGGGGCGACATAGCATTCGCTGGGGTTGATCCGTACCAAATCCGGCATGTTGCAGTTGACCTCGATGAGTTGGCGGGAGCGGAAACTATTGGTCACGGACAGGGTGGCAACCGAAACTCCGCCGTTGCTCAACTCCAGCGAAGTGGGCTGAACGGACCAGTTGCGATCCATGGGCATTGTGGTAATAGTGGTCGTGTCCGCCTCCAACAGCTCGTCCACCGGGTCCAGTAGATGGCTCTGCGTAGGGGTTGGCGAATTAGCGGCACAGATTGTCTTGAATAGTACGGTCTCTTCGGCCTCGGGAAGGAAAAGCAGTGAGTTCTCGGCCGACTCGTCGAAATCTCGATTCAGGGTGAGAGCCACATCGATGATCCGCACAACGGTGACCAAGTCGAGTATAAACTCTGGCGGCTCGTTGAGCATCCCAATGTTTCGCACTGTCTGCTCTTCTGGGAAGCCGCCCCAGATGCTGTCCAGCATCGGTGAGGTGAGCTTCTCGCGCTGCCGGCTGCTCATCCGATGGACCAGGTTGCGAATACGCTGTCTGTTTGGCTCATCACCGCAGAAGATGCGCATATTGGCCAGCGTTAGGACCTGGACGGTCTTCTTCAGTATGTTCTTCATGTCCTCGCGATTTGGTCTGAAAAGGATCTGAATGCTGGCCTCGGTGTTTGGGGGTAGAATCATGCGGCTGGGGCGAACTTCAAAGGCCTCGCTTAGGCGCAGTTTCATCAGCACTGTAGAGTCTACAGAAATTCCAACAAAGGCGGTCAGCGGCCCCTTGTTTTGGACCCGCAAGCTGGCGGACAGGGGTCCGGCTGACAGGTCGCAGACATCGCCAATGGTGAGGAAGCTTGCTCCCACCGGTCCCTTGAGCAAACCTTGTATAGCTATGGACGCACTGCCTCCGTAGCCATACAGCGGTATCTCTAAAGCCGGCTGGCTGCTACTGCTGTGCGATCCCAGCGGAGCATAGAAGGATAACGCTCCAATTGCAGCTCCGCAAACAGTGGGACAGAAATTTACCACCACCGAGCGGCATTCCATGGCCTGCAGAGTAATGGTGCTGCTGTCTCCGCCGACCAGCTGGAAGCCGGGTCCCTGGATGCCCAGACGGATGACCAGTCGCTTGTCCGCCGTATTCTTCACCTGCATGCACTTGCGCACATCCGTACGCAGCTTGGTGCTGCCCCAGCACAGGCTAGTGTGGGTCACCTTCAGCGGCAGTTGCTTCCCGTCACGATGGCTGAACTCGCTGGAGTTGGAAGAGCGTGACAGGCTGCGTGGAAGAGTAGCCGAACCCGGTCCTCTTCGTCCGCCGGTTGTATAGCCGCTAACTGTGGAACTGGCCTCGCTCCCCGCCGGCGAGGAGTTGGCCTTACGTGCGGATGCGCTTGTTAACTGGCGGCGCTCGGAACTGGTGGTGCTATCCAGCAGAGGCGAAGAAAGACAGCTTCGAGGCGAGGACATGGGTGAGAGGTTCTTTACCAGGCTCGGCGATATACCAAATTCGCGGTCAGTGGTGGAGGCCACCGCTGTATCGCATCCATCCAGGCGGGTGCTGCTTAGCGAGTTGGGTTTCCGTGGCAGCAGTCCCGCTGCGACGATAGAGACCCTCTTCGGGTTCACTGGCGTTTTATCATCGTCCTCGACCTCAGTCTCGTCCTCGGTAGCGGTTAACGGCCGAACTCCATCGCTGCTCGCCGGACTGGCGGTTCTTGGAGAGATTTTGGTACGTTTTACTCGGCGGTTCGGATTCTTAATCGGAGTCGACGGCCACTCATCGATGTCCGCCTCGGCTTCTACGGGATCGGTATCTGCACGACTGATGGTGATCTGTGGCTGATCCGCCAGCGGGCTGAGCGGCTTCCGAGAGATGCTCTGCTGCAGTTGGCGGAAATCTGTCGAGTTCAGAACAGAATCTGTAAAGCTCATGGTGTCCGTGTGCCTGCTGCTGGAGCCGCACAAGGTGCGCTCCGCCTGGCGGCTGCTGTGATCCTGGTTCTCCTTGTTTTCATCTTCATTTACATCGTCGTATGGATTACTACGACCGTGTTCCCACAGCCGGTTGACCACCTCCACTGTGGATGTGTCTGAATTGACATCGAGATCCCTCAGCGCTTTGTCGATAGCCGATAGACTGAGGATCTCGGAGCTCGAGGGCGGACGCCTGGGCTCCACCTGCATCGCCGTCTGGATCCGCTCTTGCTGCATCTTACGCATTAGGTTACGCCCCAGATTCGAGTCCGCAGGGGCCGCTGCCTTGGTATAGGTCTTGTTGTCTGGTTGCGGTGTCTTCGTACCCACGGAGTCGAGCGACTGATTGCAATTCTGATCCAGCAATGGAGGGGCAGGACGCGACCGATCCGGGCTGTCATTGTTTACAATGTTCCAGATATTCTCGGAGCGCGTTTGAAAATAGTTACCCAGTGAAAAGTCCGGATCCCCGGCCAAAACTGAGCTGAAAACAAAAATTTACCATGTTAATGGAACTAAATATGTACTAGAAATTCATTATCACTTACTTGGACACAGAGGTCTCTATGTCTGATGTAAGTGGCGGGGCAGCCATCTTCTGCATCGCTTGCGTACTCATTGTGGCCGTCGGCATGGCGGTGAACTCCTGCGCCCAAGAGATCTCGCCCAGCACCAGCTTTGACTGCATCAATTCAGCAGGCGCAAAGCTCTCGTCTAGCTGAAGGTCCTGGGCAGCGCCCGCCGCGGAGGCAGAGCCAAAGGAGAATCCGCCGCCCCCGTTCAAACTCAGGTCACTCATGTCCGCCGTGCGAGGTAAGCTGCGCGAGCAGCTAAAGGAGTCGGTAAGGGTGCTGGAATTAGTCCGCGACAGATGATAGCTGGACTCCAGCTGACTGGTATCCTGCAGCTTCTTCTCCAGCAGGCGCGCCTTCTCCACAAACGAGGACTTGATAATCTCTGCCACAGAAAGTGAAGGCTTCTCTGCCCTGCGGCGGTGCTTCTCTCCCTGGCAGAGCGTCGACCTTCCGGTGATTTCGGCGGGCTCAAAGGAGATATTGGTGCCCTTCTGGGCGGGTGTTATCATGGCGAAAGAGCCGCTACTGTTCAGATCGATGGTCTCATCCGTAACCATTTCCGAGATATTTGTGCTGGAGCGTGGTTTCATGACAGTATAGGCCGGTATTGCTTCGCTGGGACGTGCGGTTCGAGGCATCTCTAGGCCAGCAGACGTCGCCTTTGCTTGGCTGAGGCGTAATGGTCGGGGCTTCTCCAGGGCTTCCAAGGCGCGCATGCGTTCTGAACGCAAGCGCTCGTGCACTCCGGACGTCTCCCGACTCGCCGCGCTCCTGCGGGGACTCTTGCTGAAGCTAGAAATATCGCCGAAGACTGCGAAAACTGTGAAATTAGTCCACGTTCAAGGCATCCCGACATTGTGCTACTTACCCTTGAGGTTGTCCATGTTAAGAATGCCCAGAGAGTTTTGGTCCATGGAGCTGCCGTTGCCCAGACTGCCGTCGCTTTTGTCCATTCCGCGTCTTCCTTTTACAGTTGTTTCACACACAAACGTAAACAACGAAAATGGCGCGTCGCTGTGTTCAAACATAGAGTCGATAGGCAGCCGATAAGTCCCAGGGCTAGTTTTTTTTTTTTGGTTCGTTGATTGTCAAATGTCGGTTATATGACATTTATTCTATTATTTTATTTCGAACGAAACATATTTCAAAAACTATACATACTTTTTCCTTGGTTTTAAAACATCGATGGTCAGCTTCGATAACTATCAGTGTTTTCCATCCCTGCGGGCGGCAAAACGTGCACGATTTTCCGTCCCTGGACAGTTTTTCGCGAATTTCTCTCCCGCCGCCTACCAAATTCTCGGCCCGCTGTTGATTTTCTCCTGGTTTTAGATTGTACACACATAAAGCTGCAAAGATGGAGCAAGCTATGACAGAAATTATCAACGGTCTTCTGTGCACCGAGACTGACAAGATTCGTGCGGTAAATACTATGTAGAAATAAAAAATGTGGGGACTGCGAAGGGAGCTCCGAAAGGAGGTTATCCTTTTCGCCCGAGACGCTGCTTGTCTTTGGTTCCCGTTAGTTTGCACCGCGTGGTTCAATTAGCATTCCCGGAAACATCTACATATATACATATATCTGTATATAGGCAGAAGATAGAAAGATATGTAAAGATCCCATTATACATGCAGTTCACATCCCCACAGCGCTGATAATTATGGAAATTGTTTATTATTTATGCTGAAAATATCTGACCATATTTCTGTACAATAACAATTTGTCTTTCCACCCAGGCGACGGCCGCTTTGATGAAGGCTTATGAGACTCCAGAGAGTCTGCTTTGTCTGGTTCATATTGTGAACACTAACAAGGAGACCCAGATACGCCACTATGCAGCCGTGCTCCTGAATAAGCGACTCTCCAAATTGCGCCAGTGGTTGACGGTCCCTGCAGAGCACAAAGCCACGTAAGTCCTAAAATCATACGTATTTGCTTAAAACCTCATTTGTGGTTCGCTCTGGTCAGCATCAAGAGGGACATGCTGCAGGCCCTCGTCACGGAAGAGGAGAAGAGTGTGCGGAACGCTGTCGCCCAGTTTGTGGCCACTTTGGTGAAGCATGAGGCAGACAAGACGGGTTCTTGGATGCCAGAGCTGCTCAACTATATCTTCGAACGCTGCAGCAGTGCTGATCCCAAGGAGAGTGAGCGGGGCTCCTCGACCTATGCCACGCTAACGGCCGCCGCACCCGATCAGTTCAGCGTGCACATGGAAACCATCTGCCAGTTGTTCTCCAACGTGCTTCTGGCTGCAGAAACCCAGGGCGACCTGACAACACCCACAGTGACCAATATGATAACGGGTACAAGCTATTTGCTGCCTTTTATCGCGGGTAATACTGCCACCGAGCAAACGGTAGTCAAGGTCCTGCCGCTTGTCACCAAAGCGCTGCACGCGATCGCCCTGAAGGGCAACGCCGATCAGTTTCTAGCGGTCTTCGATATATTCGAAAGCATGGTCCAGTATGTTCCCCATCTGCTCACCAACGTGAAACTGATGCTGGAGTTCTGCCTAATGACCGCGAGCAACAGACAGATAGAGGATGGAATTCGCGTTTCTGTGATTGCGTTCCTCGGCAGTCTTGTGCACATCAAAAAGAAGGCCATCGTTAAGCAGAAGCTCCTGGAGCCCACTCTGTCTGTCATCTTTGAGATAATGTGCACTGAGGCTGATCCCGATGACGATGAGGACTACTTTGTAGACGAAAGCTCCAACCGCCCAATGACGGCAGTTATGCAGACCATGGATTTACTAGCTATCCACATGCCGCCGGAAAAGCTAATTGCTCCTCTGCTGCAGCTGTTAGAGCCGGCCTTGCAAAATCCGGATCCGAAACGCAGAAGCGCCGCCTACCACTGCATGGCCATGATAGCCGAGGGTTGTTCAGAGACCATAAGCCATAAGTATTTAAAGGTTATGCTTACTATAATTAAGGGCGGCATCGCTGACAACGCGCCCGAGGTGCGTGTGGCCGCATTTTTCGCCCTCGGCCAGTTTTCCGAGTACTTGCAGCCGGAAATCTCCAAGTATGCACCGCTGATTTTGCCTGTGTTATTTGACTATCTACACCAGCTGGTAGTGGAACTCCGGGTAAGGCATCTGATTTGAATCTCTTGTAGTCTTCAATCTTTATACCCATGCAGGGTATTACTATTTAAGCAGAAGCTTGTAAGTCAGTTAATGAGTAATTTCCGACCCTATAAATCATATATTCTTGATCAGCTTAAAATCCGAATCGATCTAGCAATGTCCTCTCAAAAAAGAAATTTTCAAACAATTTTCAGAATTTAGAAAAATGTAAGGGTTCTTTGTTTCAATAATTGACACAAAATTTTAATTTTTAAATTTGAGTGTGCAGATTTAATAAACTAATTAAAACTAAGATAGAAAAGCTTTCCGAATTGAAATTAATGCATTTTTGGCTTAGTTATACATTTTTTAATCTTTGATGTATAGGAAAAATGGTCATTTAAAAATATAGATTTAAAGAATGCGAATATTTTAATTATTATTTTTTTAATCGAATTTTAATTAGATCCTATAATTCAATTACAAACTGCAAGTGTATATAATCAAGGGCTTCCCGAAGTTAATTTCCATGTTATATTTGTAATTTTTTCAGGGTGGTCAGCCGGAGCCAAAGAGTGTCAATCGGATGTTCTATGCTATGGACACTTTTTGTGAGAATCTGGGAGAGGACATCGTTCCTCATTTGCCCATATTGCTTGAACGGTAAGAGAAAGGCGATTCCAATGCAATGCTCTTCCTCTGATAATATTCTTTGGTTTTTAGCCTATTCGAGTTACTGGATCCCAAAAACTCAGCAAAGATTCGTGAGTACGCTCTGTGCAGCGTGTCAAGTGCGTCCGAGGCAGCAAAGGAGCACGTAGCGCCATACTTCCCAAGGATTTTTGAGATTCTTAAGACGTTTCTGCTGAAGGATGTCCCGGATGAGATGGAACCGCTGCGACTCCAGGCCATCGATACGCTGGCTTCGATTACTCGTGTCGTGGGTAAGGAACACTTTCTGCCGTTGGCCAACGACACGAAGAATTACTGCCTGATGATGTTGGACGAGGGACCCAACGACCCGGACTTCCGTCGCGGCATTTACAGTCTGATCGGCGCTCTCTCTTACGTGGTGAACGAGAGCATGGCCGAAGTTTTTCCTCAGGTCATACCTCGACTCATTCAAACTGTGATTTCCACTGAGGAAGTCGAACTGTGTCTGCCGGACAAGCCGGAGAGGGATTTAATTCTGGAGGCGGCCAGCGCGGACGAAGAAATCGATCTGGAGAATACGGACGACGAGGATGAAGACGAACTGGACGGCTACCAGGTGGAAAATGACTATCTCGTTGAGAAAGAGGTGGCTATAGGGACGCTTCGTGACTTTGCAGCCAACACTGGTGCCGCCTTCACCCCCTATCTTCAGTCGGCTTTTGAGAACGTTTACAAGACGCTCGACCATGCCTCCAACGACATTCGCACAACATCTGTCACTGCCCTCTGCGAGTTCGTAGCTGCTCTTAACAAGTCTGGTGATACCGGCGGCGTAACTCGCGCTTGCGAGATCTTGATACCAAAGTTCTCTGCGATGATGCGTAACGACGAGGTTGAAGAGGTGCTCGTGCATCTGCTCGATGAAGTGGGTCAACTTTTCCGGATCAACAAGCAGCTGGCCATGCCGAACCAGGAGTGTGCCGAAATGATCTACGGCTGCATCAGGGACTCTTTTCTGCACAAAATGACCTGCCAGTTTAACGATCAGAGCGGCGGCGGTGAAGACGATGATGATGAGGAGGAAAGCGAGAATGCAGATATGATTTTGGAGAATGCCGCCAATCTGGTGGCTTCGTTTGGCTTCGCCCTTGACCCACAGACGTTCTCGCTGTACTTTGGCCGCCTATTTCACTTCTTGACCCAAAAACTGGTATGTACCAAAGACCCCACTGAGCCTGGCTCTTCTTGCAGGTGCCCTGCTGCGGCTGTTAAGTTTTTAAACCGTAATGAATGTTTTGCTGTTTCGATTTGCAGGCCAAGGCAAAGAAGAATGATCAGGCGGAGCACAGGGCGTACATCTACGGAACTCTGGCCGATTCATTCCAGAGCCTGGAAAGCTGTTCCGCCACATATTTCGACACTGTCTGCCCCTTGTTCCTGGCTGGGGCCAACGATACCGATGCCAAATCGCGTCAGAACTCGTATTACGCCCTCGGCGAGCTAGTAATGCATTCCGAAGAGAAGTCATTCGAGTGAGTACTACGGGAAGATAATTATTATTTCGGGTAATCTTATATTTCCTTCACAGTTCGTATCCGACGATCCTGCAAACACTTTCCGATGCGATCGCTAGGGAGACGGCTCCCTCAGCCCTGGACAACATTTGCGGAGCAGTGGCACGCCTGATTTTGACAAATATTCAGGCTGTACCGCTGGCGGCCGTCTTGCCGGTGTTTCTGTCCCATCTGCCACTGCGCGAGGATTTTGAAGAGTACGACGCTGTGCTGAAGACGTTCCAAATGCTTTACACCCAGGCCAATCCCAGCATTGTCGATCATATCGAGCAAATGGTGTACGTCATTCTCCAGGCTCTGCAGCAAAAGCATATAACCGATCAGGATATCATCACTAACGCAATCGAATTCGTCAAGCTGATTCGCGCCCACCATCCGGACAAGTTTAACAATGTTGCCAACTCGAACCCAGAGATGTGCCAGTTTGTGCAGACCCTTTAAGCGATGACACCACCGGCCTGTAGAATTTTCCACGCAGACAGCCACAGCAACCATACAACTCACACAATTATAATTTGGTTAATGAAGTCACAACCCTTTCCCGCCGCTTCGCCATGGGATGGATCATATAGCATTAAGCTCGCCGCCCAGAAGTGTCTTTCAAATTGAGCGTTACATTGTTTTCTATGAGGCCCGTTAAAATGCGGAAATGTTTTTTAATTTGTAACTTATGCCCTGAAATAAATAAAGAATATTATATCAAATTTTCAGGACTGTTTCGGCTGTAATCTACGATATGAAAATCTAGATCTTTTGAAATAGGTCGCAAACTAAAATTTGTATTATTTAAAAAACATCTGTCTGATCCTTATATAGGATAAATTAAATTCGGAGAATCGTTTCGTAGCTACCAATGAGCATTCCGAAGGAAAACCACTTCCCGAACGATATCCGCGTGATTGGCGTGCAGCTTCAGTTCTGAGTCTACGTCCGTCCAGCGCACATTGGTGGCATCGTCGCCGGCCATTAACTCCAATTGGCCCACCTGTTTGCCGTCTTCATCGTGGAAATTAAGGGCCGTCGTCTCCATCCAGGCGTTGTCCGTGTTTCTAAAGTCGTCCACATAGCCGCTGTAAACATGGACGCCACCTTCCCGGAAAAACTTTTCCACCATGTTTGCCTTGTCCGTGAAATTCAAAGCTTCCTCTGTAAATTCACGCTTGAGGGTGACGCTTACGTTCTCTCCGGGATCAACCATGCCTCCAGGAATAGCCCAAAGTTTATTGTCCGATCGCTGAATGGCCACCATCTGAATAATGTTTCTAAGAATAGATTTAAGTAGTATTTATTGTATGCATTTTTTTTATCGACTTACTTGCCGGTTGTTGAGTTTGCCACTATGGATCCCTCGGCATCCCGCTTCCAGCGCGTCACGATAGGATCAGCGGCGTGGTTGGGACCCCACCGGCCCAGTGAGCCTCGACCACTCAGCCCGGTGCGTCCAATTGGGTTAAGAGGTAATCCGTTCTTCACCTCGTAAGCGCCATGAAAGGATTCTCGGTTTACCTGGCCATCGAGCTGATTCCACTGCGGATGGAATGTTTCGCTAGGCAGCGGTGAATCGGCCCACACTTGTCCTCCTATATGTGGCGCCGTGTACACCGGTGGACAGTAATCCGGATAAGGCGCCGACCAGAATACATGGCCGTCGGACACCGGGAAGCGGAGGACGCCACTGCGCGGATACATGTTATTGCGGCACATCAGGTGGCGGAAGATCCCCGGCTTGACCAGGGAGGCCATCATCTCGGCAGCGGTCGTTGAGTTTTCCAAGGTTAACAGCAAGCAAAGTGGCAGCAAGAGTGCAAAGTCGAGGTTCGTCATTGGACTGAGTTCTACCAAAACACAAATAAAATTTGTTTACATACAGTCGCGGTCAAGAAAAGAAGAGTTCACATTTTAAATGCAAAATGCACCAATTTTACTAGTTAGAATAAATATCGAAAACAAAGCAATTATTTCAGTGATAACCAAAGCAATAATTTTTATTAAGTAGATTAAATAAAAAGTTGCATTAATAAAATTGACAGTACTACAATTATGACCGCATCTGTAGTTCGCAAAGTGTGGGAATGCACTTATTTCGGCCAAAAATCAAGCTGGTCACACTGTAACAAGTCTTTTTGAAATCTCAAAGATTTTGTTTATTAGGTTTTGTGTTGTTGTTTCGGGTAATTACAAAAATTTGATGTCCTCTAACTTAAAATGCCTCGCTTCTACACCAATGCGGCGATAGCCCCACCAGGAGCTCCCGGCCAGTTTAATCCTGGCGGAGCTGCAGCACCTTTTCCTCGATGCCATCCTTGGTGATGACGTTGATTAGCACAGAGTCGCCGGTGTAGATGTCGCGTTCAGCAGCAGAGATGAAGGTGTCAGAGGCAACGGCTACCGCCCGCTCCTTGGTGAGCGGAGGCAGCTCTCCGGCGGCCAGGTTAATGTTCTTGTGGCCGATCTGGTTATCCAGAACCGGCTGCAGCAGGGTGCCGGCAGTTCCGCCAGCTCGATAGGTGGCCCGTTCGCAGTGGCCAATGGGATCGTATGAGTAGACTACGCCCTTGCCGTCCTTGTCTATACCAGCCAAAATGTTGGACACGTAGTAAGGGAAGAAGCGGCGGTTGTACATGGTGATCGAAAGCATTTGGGCCACGGCGTCTGTGGTCATCGTGCGCAAATGAGTGTGCTCGTAGCTCTGCATGCGGACCTTCATAAGACCGGTCAGCGAGAGGGTGTCAGCCCAGCAGCCGGTGGAGCCGAGTACCGTCTTGGGCGACAGCTTGAATAGCTTGCTCTGGTTGCGCGAATGGATGTTGTAGCCGCTGCTCAGGCGAGTGTCCGCGGCTATCACCACGAAGTCGTCCCCAGCGATGGCCACAATGGATCTGCAAAAGGGAACCTGCGGTCAGAAGCGAGATCTTAACCCGGCGTTTCGGGCAGGGAAATCTTACCCGCCGTTGGACTCGTAGGGTGAGAAGTCCGGGTGCTTAGCGCCGGGCACCTGGTAGTCCGGGAACTGTTCAAAGCCCAAGCTGCTCATAATTATGTTGAAATTAACTTGTCAAGCGAAAAACGAACGAAATGATTTGCAAGTTTCCAGCGACGTTCTCAAAATTAGTGTGGCTTAGTGCTTTAAAAAACATCGTCTCCCTATCGATACTATCGATGTTTTATTATAATACCAAATTCGTGATCAGGATGATGTGATGCGATAAATTTCCACCAATATCAAATCGATTGTTAAATCGTTACAGTCGCTTTTTAAATTCCAATAAAATAATTAAAACTGTATTATTGATTAAAAAAGGTATATACTTTATAGAACAGCGGTTATTTTCAACAATCTTTGGATAAAAGTGATGCAGATGGCTTTCTCTAAGCTACAGCTGCAATACCCTCGATTCGTTCCCTATGTAACTGTCCTCGGTTCTTCTCCACAAGTGCCTTGACATCATAAAACCACTTGCCTGCAGGGAAATATATAAATAAATATGCAATTTTTCGGGAGAGCTTTGGATTTACCAATGCCGGTGTTTTGTAGGGAGTCCTTAAACGTTTGACAGCCCTCCATGCTGCTGAGCACTCCAAAAACGGACAGATCCGCCAGGCTCGGCTGCTTGCCGCCCATGAATTTGGTGTTTCGCTTTTTCAACTCGGCAGTCCACTGATCCAAAGCGTCGTACATATGCGACCGTACGTCGTCAGTGAGGGCGTGGCGCCGCTTCAGTATCTTGGCAATGGCCCACATCGCCGTGGCACCACAATAGACCATCATGTCGCGCTCCCATTTGGGAAAATGCACGTCCCACTCTCCGGCCTGCGAGAACCACTCGAAGGTCTCCAAGGACTCGCCTATGGTCTGGTAGCAATTTGGCGAGATCAGGTGAACTAAGTGGCTGTCGGCCCAAGTTCTCCATTTGCGGTCGAGTCTGAAAATAAATGAAACCTTGAGAAAGGTCAATAAAACCTTTGATATACATACTCCTCCGCCTCCTTGGTTACACCTTTGGGCGTGTGGTCGCGATACATAAGGAAATATTTGTTCAATATGTCCAGCTTCTTTTTCCCATCATCATCGAAGAACGAGGTATGTGGATAAAACTGGGCAAGTTCACCGATGTCTGTGCGCTTGTCCTGTAGATAGGTGGCTATCAGCGATACAATAGCACTGGAGTCAACCATCTGCACGTATCGACCGTCCTGCTGTCGGATGAGTACCATGGGCACTTTCTTTACCGACGACCAACGGATGTCCTGTCTGAGAACAGCGTCCACTTCGACGACAGAGTAGGATATGCCCATGTAGTCGAGGAAGGCTCGCACCTTGCAGCAGAAGGGACATGTCTGGAACTGAAACAGGACAATGTCCAGGCCGGAAGTGTCCTTAGGATTCACATATCGCTTGGTTATCCGCACACCTGACGGCAACCCGTCCACGCGCGTTGGTTTTGTCTCCTCGTGTTCCTTGTGCGAGTTTCCGTCCGTCCAGCGAGTGTAAAAGGTGTATACAGATCCTGTGGCCGCTCCTACCACGGCCCCAAGCAGCCCCAACTTGAAAGTTCCATTGGATTTTTTTGGACCGCTGCCGCCTTCCACCGCTTTTGCAAACTGGCGTCGAGCGAATGCCAGTTCTCTGTGAGATCCATTGGCAAGCAAACGCAAAGCTCGGGTTCCGCTGCCAGCGGGAAGAGCGTTGGCAGTCGCTAACCGAAAACAAGACATTCTTTAAACTTGACTTATACTAAATATTATGCAAAACTAGTGACCAGTGTTGCCAATTTGTCCTTTTTTGCTTTTTTTCTGCTTTGTCCGCAAAAATTGTAAATCATCGATTGCATCGATAGGGCGACGATGTTTTTTAAAGTACTAAGCCACACTAATTTTGAGAACGTCGTTGGAAAAACATCGATTTTCGCTAGCATTTCAAATTTTTTAGCAGGGAAACATCAATTTAATCGTTGTTTTTAAAAATTTTGTTTTCTAGTTTAACAATATGTATTTTATTTCGAGATCATATTCATATTTAAATTTTTACTTGCTAGTGCCGATAATCGATTTTTGCACAAAACATAGATAAACACTTTCAGAAACATCGATACAATCGATGTTTTTTTCAGCTGTTTTTTTCTACCCAATAGAAAAGATACAAAAACAAGTTGAACTATTTTTTTCCATAGCGAATTTGTTTATAAACAAAGCCGGAAAAAAATGTCGGCATCCGCTGAGAGTTTAGCGGCGGCCGCATCATTGGACACCGTTGGCGATGAGGACCTATTCAGCCTGCTGATACGCTACGGCCTCTATGTGGGTGCACTTTTCCAGTTTGTTTGTATCTCGGCCGCCGTATTGATGGCAGCGGACGACGGGAGCACGGAGGGCGGGGAGGTGACGGAACGGGAGGGCGAACCGGTGCGAACGCGCTTGCACAAGATTCGCAAACTGGAGAAAAAGAAGCGACGTTAAGTCTGGATGGCACACCCACTTAAAACAAATAAAATATACATAATTATATTGTAAACTTTTCTAGATCATGCATTTGTTTCATTGTAAAAAAAAGCCCACATATATGTATAATTATCATTTTATATATAAAAATAACAATATGACAACCCTACCGACGACGTTTCTATTTCACATGACTCAGGTCGGGGAAAGCTCTACGCCCCCGAATTTCCCACCGACCTTTTCTTACCCCTTCCTCACCAAACAAGAAAAAACTTGCTGTTAGTTTGGCTGTTATCTTTAATTTGGGAATAATATAAATTATAATAATCGTATAGTTATTATGTTGCTCGCAATGTTTTGTTTTACTTCCCGTTTTTTAACTATGTACGTATGCATGTGTATGTTGTGTGTGTGTGTCTGTGTCTCTGTGTTTTGAATGCTCTCTCTCTCGCTCATTCTATATATATATGTATATATATATATATATAAGCTTGTATATATATATATATAATAGAGTCCATGCAAAAGGATGCACAGACAATTATCACTATGAATTATTATTATTATTATACGGTATTTAATTTCCATGTTTTGTTTAGTGTTTTTTCATGAATTTTGCGTGGAATTACATTTTGAAGTCAAAACTCATTCAGTTTCTTCTTTTTTCGGGGGCGTGTGGATAGAGGCTGAAGGCGTGGCAGGTTATGAGGTGGAGGAAGGATCGTTTTTTAAAAACTCTCGAATTTCAGAATACAACAACCAAGTTATGTTTAAAAAGGAATCGAAAAAATGGGCACGGGAATATATATATGTGGGTAGAGGATCGGATCGAATCATCGAGGGATATAGGGAAGAGAAGGCTATGTTAAATTCGCAACTCTCTTTCGGTTCTTCGGTTTTTTCGGGGTTTTCCTTAGGCTTTACGCTCTATTTACTCGTACTTTAGCTTTTTGTTTTTGTTACTATTTTGCTTTATCGTTATTTATCAGTATCATCAGTGTTGTTGTTGTCTAAATTATTGTTTAGTTACTCACAAGTGTAGTCATCATCGTCACAAAATATAGTATATATAATATATATTTGCTTTAACCCACACACATAAACATGTTCGTTCATCCTGCTAAACCCACCATCACTCTCCGTTCTCCGCTGGCTCTCGCTCGCCCCCGGGACGCAGCTAAAGCAATAGCTGGGAGTTGGACGGGTCCAAGTCCAACTAAGCCTCGGGCAGCGGCTTCAGCTCCTTTATCTGCTTGATCAGATAGGCCTTTTCGTCGTTGAACTGCTCGTCCTCTGACCGATCCGTGTGGAAGTTGGTGAGGAAGTCGACCAGCTTCGTCTGGTTGCGCAGCAGGATGTCCAGGATGGGCTTCGGCTTGTTGGGATTCGCCACAAACACCTTGAAGACGTGAAACGCCTCGAACTGTATGTTCCGCGACTTTTCCTTGAGCATGTTCATCATCAGCTTGAGGTTCTCCGGCTCGGAAATGTAGCGCGTCATCACGGTGAAGTTGTGCCGGTCCAGCAGCAGTTCGCCGAGCAGCTTCAGACTCTGTCGTCGCGTCACATAGTTCTCCGAGTTGAGTAACCGCTGATAATGTTGCGAAAAGAACTTGTCGTAGTTTGCGTCCAGGAACTCGGCACAGAGCAGCTTGTGGCGCGTAAGCAGCTCCTTGAAGGTGGAGAAGGCATCGCTGGCAATGTCGAAGGTTGATACCTCCACGTACCGGAAGAACTTGAAGAACTCGTCCGAGTGCAGCATGATCTTGGCCAGCGCCTCATACCGGGCGCACTCACGCAGCATGGTTCCCGAATTGAGGGCAATCTCCGGATGCGCGTCCTCGTAGCCACCCATAAGCGTGAACAGGATCTCCGGCTTCGTGCAGATGTACTCGACGGTGGGTGACCGCGTACCGATCTGTCGGCGCAGCACATTGTTGAAAATGAGCGCCACATGCTTCTTGCCCTCAAAGTCGATCCTGTGCAGGTTCTGTATAAGCAGCAGCAGCAGATTACTGTTGTACAGCTCCTGCGACAGCTGTGCCACCACATAGTCCGCCGGCGGCTCGGCGTCACTGCTGCCGTACAGCATGTTCTTGATGGATACCAAATTCTTGCTGACGTCCTCTTGCGCCTTTTCCACTTTGCGGTCGCCTGCCTCCAGAGCGTTGATTGCCTCCTTTAGCGACTTGACCAGCTCCACTGGCGACTTCTGCGACTTCCCGAACAGTGGCATTCCGCTTACTGCTTTTCTCTCTTCAAATCAGAGTTCTTCGTCGTATTTGGATGTGTGTCTTGTGGCTCGTATCTTCTTGTGACTCTGCTTCTGCTGCCGATGTTGTTGTTGCTGTTGTGGCTGCACTTTCGGTGATGCTACTGCTGTTTTGGGGGCTTGCTGGCTGTGGTACGTGAACGTGGACGTGGCTTTTGTTGCCTTATTACCGACGACGGAGACGCGGAAAACAAATGCTTGGCAATATTATCACGGTGTAAAAAATTTTTATTATTATATATTATTTCGTCTTTTTCTTGTCTTCTGGGATGGCAAACAATTTCGATTGGCCGTCGTTTCGATAGTTGTATCGCAATATCGGCTGGACGATAGGTGTTGGTAAATTCTGTCAGGTAAACTCTTTACAATACTAACACAAAAAACGGAATTGTTCAAAAAATCTTAACAAAATAATATTTATTTAAATTAACTTTTACACAAATACAAGGAATCTTTGTCAGAATTAAATTTTATTTACACTTGGGCCCCCGAAAACTATGGGTAAAACACCGTATTTTGGAATTCTTTAAATATCATTTTTATTTCTCATTGAAGTTACTTTGTTTTTGATCCGTTTTTCGTATTAGATATTATTCTGCAGCGCATATCAGGCGCTTGGTGTATCATAGAAGTTACAGAAATATATATATTTTGTGTGTATATATATTGGGCAACATTTTCAGTTTTTCGGTTCTTGGCCGATTTTTCTATTTCCGTTTCCGGTTCAAAGAAGAATATCTTGGGGATTAAGATGAAAGGCAAAGTATCAATAATTTCGTATTTATCGTTATATCTGCAGGTTTGACCGCCCCTATTTAAGTTGTTGGTTGCCCCTCTTGTCTATATTTTTGTTGTTTTAAATAAAATTTATTTGGTTTTTGTATGTGGTTTTCTTATGTGATTTTCTTTGTTTACGTATAAAAGTTGTTTTAAAATCCTTGGAAAATATCAGATAATAATTACAATTGGTTGTGTAATACGTCTTAAAAAGCATTTCGTTTGCCTCCGCACTCGAACATATCGATTAAACATAAATCAATTTAGTCTTTGCCACTAAACATACACATATGGTATATATATATATTTATCAATTTGAGTGAGTAATAGGTTTGTCGTATTTATCATTTTAATAATAATATCTTTGGGCTTTGCTACGAGTACATATAGATCATGATCATAGACATATATGCTGCTGCTGTTGCGGGAGTCGAGCGCGTACGCATTCCGGATATCGCAATCTCAAATGGGAAGGAGGAGTACGGGAAGGAATACGGGGAGTAATATCTTTATCTTGTAGAAGTATGTGTATATAGTATAGGTATAATAAAACATTTTACGACTAGTATATGTAAATATATGTATGTATAATGTATATATGCATTGCGTTTTCCTTTTCGTTATTACTAAGTTTATTGAGATATTCTATGAATATATTCCTTTTTCATTCTTAAGCCATGTCTAGTGTCTTTATTTCTTTCCTTCTAACTCTCTTCTATATAAAAAACATAAACGAAGCGCGAATACGTGTCTGTGTGTGTTCGTATGAGAGGAGAAGGGGGATTGAGAGTAGGGATTCCCTTACTTTACATAATTAAAAACAAGGATCCTCCCAGGAGCGATCCCCTTACTCAAATTTTTGCTTTGCAACTCATTGTTTCCACAGTTATCATGCTCTTGTGTTTTCTCTGGAAGCTATCGTCGGAGCTCTGCACAGATCTGACTAGATATATATATAAATATATATATATATAGGGAAATATATAATAGAAGCTACTACTACACGCTACCAAGTACGATACATAGGTGTCCTCCGCCTTTAGTTGCTGCCACTCATCGTCATCTTCATCGTCGTCGTCTCCCTGTCCTGCTTCGCTGGGCTTGAAGTTTCGTATCCTGCATTGCTGTTTCCTGTTTCGCTAGATCTAAATCTACGGGGGATGGTGGTTGGATGGTAGTTGTTGGGTCTACACACTCCCGGGGCCCATCACTTGCGCTTGATGAAGTTGCCCTCGGCATCCAGCCAGATGTTGCCCGGATGTTGTTGGTCGGGCGCGTCCATCCCCCGTCTTATCATTTACCTGTTGAGAGCATTGGAGATCTGGCGCAGAGACTGGCCCACCTCGGCCACTAGGCGTTCGTTGTCCTGGACATTCTTGCTGCCAGCGGAGCGCAGATGCTGCGACTGTGACTCCACGCGCGTGACTAGCTCCCGAAACTGGAACTTCGAGTGCGGCGCCATCGCTCCATTCTCCGCAAAGATAACGCACGAGTTCTGCAAGATGTTGAGTTTGTCGCTTAGCTGCAACCACTGGGAACCCGCGATGGCGTTCACCGGATGCTTGAGCGACCCCTCCAGCAGCCCCACCAGTTCCAAGATGCTCTCCCGTGAGATCTGCGTGGAGCTGGCGGACGTCGATCCGGAGCCGGCTGGCTCGGCAAGCTTGCCAATGGGCGTGGCGTAAATTGTCAGCTTGGTGGGCTTGTGCGGCACCGCCGGCTTCTGCTGGATCTGGGGCTTGTGCTCATACAGCGACTGGGTCATGTCTGGGGCTCCAACGCCGGAGCCTGATCCCTCGTGGTGCGACTGCTCCTCGTCATCTGTGAAGAGTTGCGTTGAATAAGAGGTTTTTATTGTTGTGCTGCCGCCGGCCTGGTGCTTGCTGCTGGCGCAGTCTCTACTGGAGGTGCTACTGGTGGTAGTGGTGGTAATGGTTGCAATGGAGGAGGTGGTGCAGTTCGGGGGCGGTGGTGGAGGGGCAGCCGGCGGTGGCCTGTTGCCTGGTTTGGCTGGCAATGTGACAGCAGCGCCAGAAGTGGTCTTCATCATCCCATATTTGGGCGAGAGCTGAGCGCCATTTACCACCGACGACTGCTGCTGTTGCTGCTGAAGTATCGAGCTGCTGGCATAGTCCGGCGCCGGCGGCTGCTGCTCCCACAGTTTCTTTAAGCTATTAATACTACCTGTGCTTCGTCGCTTGCCGAGATCACCCTCGCCAGCCGATGTTGCCGTCTCCGCCTCCGTCACATTCGAATTGGTCACGTCGATTTTGATTTCAGTCTTTTGCATGGCCTGGGCGTACTTCTTGTTATTGTCATCCTTCCGATTAAGCGTACCCGTGGAGGTGTTGCAGTTGTTGGCATTGTTGGCCACAATTGGAGCTTGTTGGGGTTGTGCTGATGCTGGCGCAGGCTGCTCCTTCTCCTTGTCCACGCGACGCAGATGGGCCTTGAAGTCGATGATATTGCTGGCTGGCTCCGCCTTGGCCGTTGGCGGACTCATCTTCTTGGTTTCCACCTTCTTCAGCTGCGGCTTGAAGCCGCCAGATTGGCCATTGCCGTTGGTCAGCTTCTGCTGCTGCTGCTTGGGCAGATTCATGCTCTCGGCCAGCTCGGTGACCAGCAGGGAGACGGGATCCACCGCTGTGATACCCGGTCCGGAGCCGGAGCCATTTGCTAGAGGAGAAGCACTCTCCTTGCCGGCTGCCTTGATTTCGGTAATGAGCTTTTCTTTGAGATCTTCGGGCGGACTGCCCAGCGAACTGCACGAGTCGGTGGACGGTTCTCGCTTCCTCAGCGACACCCCAAACCGGGAGCTGGCCTCCTCCACGCTCGGCGCCGTGTTGCTCACATCGTTGTGGCTGCTGTCGTTGTTATTGTTTCCATTGGCATTGCCGTTGCTATTCCCATTAATATTCCCATTGTTCGGATGAAGCTGGGCATGCAGATGCTGCTGGATAGCCTGCACAGCACTCTCGGCCGCCGGCGGTGGCGGTGGAGGCACCCCGCCCTCGAACTCCTCGGGTGGCGGTGGCAAGTCCAACGGCGGTGGTGGAAACTCAAGATTGGCCAATGCTGGCTGAACGCCGCCAGCACCTCCGGCGGCTCCGGAACCACTACGTTTGGGGGAACTACTTGAGCCACCGGCCCGGAAAGAGGAGAACGTCATCATGGTACCCTCGGTGGTGGTGCGATGGCGCTGAAGCTTGTTTAGGCTGGCCGCTGCATTGTTCTGCATTGTCACACCGCCCGAGGAGTTGCTCCGGATCATCTGTTGCGGCGGAATCGGGCTGACCTTCGGATTGATCCTTGATGACGGTGGCGTGGCATGTCCGTTAGCCGGCGTAGGAGTGGCCGGAGCGACTGCCGGGGCAGCGGGTGCTACAGGCTCACTACTATCCTCCAAACTATCCAGATAAGCTCCGATCCTTTGCACCTTGGGCAGGGTTCCATAGCGATTCACCACCCTCTTTACATTTATCACATCCAGAGAGCCCACGGTGATGGGATGAGCACTGCCATTATTGCTACCCGCATGGGGATGTGGATGAGCTGGTGCCGGTGAAGGTGGCGTTGGTAGTCCCTGCTGGGAGCGCTTGCTCTGGCGGGTCTCCAGACCCCGATTGCCCATCACTGGGGCCGGAGTTGGACGCTTGAAGGAGCTGTGCTGCTGCGACGATCGAGGTCCAATGCCTCCACCTCCGTGAAGCGAGTGCTGCATCTTATTGCTAGCCGGCGAGGGAACGGCCACTTGGCTCAGGCTCTGTTCCAGGCTGTCGCCCGTGGCATCAGTATCGGGATCGGCGGTGGGATCTGTTTCCGAGTCGTACCGCTGCGTCAAACTGTTGATGTCCCGGGCCAAGCCTGGCGAAGCGAAATAGAAAAGTAAAGTGGGGTTAATATGGATTATTTAATGCATGGGAAATAAACAGAATGCTCGTGCCGGGTGCTGGATGCTGAATGATGGTAGTAGAGGGCAGTGATGGAAAGTGAGTACCTCACCATCCCTGGACGTGAGTTAAGCCTGACCAGAGTCTTGTGTAGGTGTGAGTGTGCGTTGATGTTTGATGTATGTTTGGATGTATGTCGAGCGAATAAAACTACAAAACACCAAAATATCGATTTAACAATAAGGGAATTAAAGTTAAGTTGGCATATAACCTTGAAAGGATTTGTGGAAGAAAAAATTGTTCTGGAATATTTTAATTTGGAAAACTTTCTTATGATAGTTTTTATTAGCTTAATAAATCTGCATACTCAATTTAAATTTGATAATATTGGCTTTTTTTTTAAATTTTAACGATATAACCCCTTATCCTTTTTTTATATTTTTAAAAATTTTGTTTTTGACCCGACATAGCTATATTGATTTGGCTGATGATTCTGATCCTGAATATATATGATTTATAGGGTCGGAAATGACTCCTTCATAGTGTTACAGGCTTCTGTCTAAAATTACAATAGCCTGCAAATGGTAAAATAACAATAAATAATTACATACTCATTAAGGTACCTAAATATATCACTTTCAAGACTATAAACCAAAACACTCGGTAACTAAATCCAAAAATATAAAAACTTAAAGTTAACAGGCACCAAAAAAACATATTAGAACTAAATTAAATTAATATCAAATTTAGAAAGTAAAGTTAAAGGGTAAATGTAAATGATTAATAAGGGATTAAACAAATATACTCTGAAACAACATTAAAAAAAGAAAAGAGAAAGGAGAACAACGACGATACAAAATCAACAATTAGTACTTAATTTAGAACATTTACTGATACCATAATATAATAATAACAAACCAATAAGAAACAAACAGAAAATAACAAACAAAGAACAAATAACATAAAATAATTTGGAATTTGGAGACTTCCTTGACGAAATAATACCTCGAAATAGGATGTCGTAAAGGAAACTACTGCACGAGGACGATTTCTTAATGGAATACTGTTGTTTCTGTTGTTGTTGTTGTTGTTGATGTTGTAGATGTTGTTGCTGTGCTACGGATGGCTGTTGCTGTACGGACTGTTGTTGTTGTTGTTGTTGGAGTAATGGTTGTTGTTGTGTTCGTATTTGCTGTTGTGTATTGTTGTGTTGGTGTTTTGGAATTTGGGTCTTGAAATTTCTAGAGAGGGTCTGGCTGAAATAATTACTAGTTTTCAATTTGTGTATACCATTTGTGCTGAGGTCGTCGATGAAGTTGCAACGAGCGCTGGCTGGGTCCTCCTCGCGATATGTCGAGTCTCGACTGCTTGAGAGCAGGCTGAAAGGAAAGGAATTAATAATTAAATATTTTATTCTAGCTGATATTAATATTTTATATCCTGTAATCAAACTATATTGGACAGGTAGCTTCGTTTATAAACATTGTAGAAATTATTTTTTAATGTCATCCCAGCAATTCTCTACTCACCTCGTTCGCTTGGGTGGAGCGGGCGCCTGCTTGCCCTGCTTGTTGGTGGTCCGACGCATCTGGACATTGCCTTTGCCCTGGCTGGAGAAGGTGGTCAGCTTGGTGGAACTGGAGCCGGTTTCTGAGGCAAATATTGGGCATTGGGTTAAAGAGAAAATTTTAGCTAAGCTAATAGTCTTTAGCTACTACTCACCTGACATGGGGGTGCTGGCCTGCTGCTGGTGCGGATCGTTGTGGTGGGCATTCGGCGTGAGGGACTGGCCGCCGGGCAGACCCTTCTTCACCATCTGCGGGGTGAGACTGAGCGATGCGGTGGCGGAGGATGTGGAGGCACCGCCGCTGGCCGCCGTCGTTGTGGTGGTGGCTCCTCCGCCAGTGACTATACCCGACGTGCTCGGAGCAGAGCTGCTGCTCACGCTGGCTGTGGTGGTGGCGTTGGCGTTCAGCTGCTTCTCCACCGCTTCGGTGATGGACGATTCCTGCGGAGGAGCGGAGAAGGAGAGATGGGCACCATGTGGCTCATTATTGCTATCACTACTTGCACCCTCGATCTCGATCGATCAGAGCACGTTCACGAGGTGGTGGCGGTGTCTATGGTGGTGGCTATGACTATGACTACTCCTATTCCTATGGCTATTGCTATGGCTATGGACATGACTCTGTCCGCCGCCGCTGCTGCTGTGGTTGTTCTGCTGATGCTCATCGTCGTCGTCGCCGTCGTAGTCACTCGCCTCCTCGCCACCGTCACGATCGTTATGATCTTCATCGTCATCGTCATCATATTCATCGTCCCACACCTCGACGTCACCCACCTGAAACATGTGCTCCAGCGCATGGTGTATGCTCTTGAATGTGGGCCTGTCGGCGGCATCCCACTGCCAGCATTGGCGCATCAGATCGTACACCTCCGGCGGACAACCGGGCGGCCGCTCCATGCGATAGCCCTTCTCCAGCTTGTGATACACATCGGTCAGGTCGATGCCCGGATACGGTGACATTCCATACGTGGCGATCTCCCACAGCAGCACCCCGAACGCCCACACGTCCGACTTGGTGCTGAACTTGTTGTACGCCAATCCCTCCGGCGCTGTCCACTTGATAGGGAACTTGGCCCCGGCGTGCGCCGTATACGTATCATCTCGCATCAGGCGTGCCAGTCCAAAGTCTGCCACCTTCACGAGCTTGTTGTCGCCCACCAAACAGTTGCGGGCGGCCAAGTCACGGTGGATATAGTTGCGTGACTCCAGATAGCTCATACCCGACGCTATCTGTGTGGCCATGTAGAGCAGCGCCACCGCATCGAGGGTCTCGCGGCCGGCGGAGCGCAAGAAGTCCAGTAGATTGCCGTGCGACATGAACTCGGTGATGATGTAGAATGGCGGTTCACGGGTGCAAACACCTGAAACGGTAAGGATTAGTTACGAATATCAGTCATTCTTTTCCCCAGATGATATTTACCAATTAATTGCACCAGATTGGGATGCTTCATCTCCTTCATGATGGCCGCTTCCTCAAGGAAGTCCTTCAGCGCCATGGTATCCTCCTTGAGCGTCTTGACAGCCACTGTATTGCCGTAACGCTTCCACACCGCCTCGTACACCTCGCCGTACTGTCCCCCACCCAGCTTGTGCTTCATCATGATGTCCGTTCGGCAGATCTCCCACTCATCAGGCTCGGGACTTAGCGGGAAGACGGTGGGCTTATTCTGCTTGGGCGCCGGATACAGAAGCGGTGTGATCAGGCCATGGCCCTCATGTGGCACACTGTGATGATGCACCAGCTCTGCCAGCGTGTTGAATTTGGCCTCTTGGGTAACAAACACCTTGCCATCGGGATCCTCCGAGATGCGATAGTGATAGACGCGACCCTCATAGCTATTACAGGAGAAGAATGATGGTTTAATAAGATAATGTACAAGGAAATAAGGTCTAGTATTATCCACTCACCGAAGGCTTATGCTCCTCTGGCCCGGCGAACTCTCGCTCTCACGCACCAGGAAGCTACCATTGATCCCGGAGCTCAGCAGATATTCGGCAGCATTGCGGGAGATGGGACCATGGTACCACGAGTGCTTCTCCAGCGAGTTGAGCGGCGTCACATAGTTGGAGGGCACCCAACCAACATTGCCCGAGTCAGAGTGCGCCTCGCACCACTCCCCTGACTTGTTGTAGCTGAGTATTCGCACCTGTTCACCCTTCTTCAGGCTCAGCTGGTTCTCACCACCGGCCTGGAAGTCGTACAAGGCGACAAATAGCTGAGGGTCATCCTCCTCCGGTCCGGGCGCCAGCAGATTCTCCTTGGAGGTCCACCTATGCGTGGACTCGAACACCGATGTGGTTGAGCTATGGCCACCGCCCAGCGAGGAGCACTGCAGTCCAACCCCGCCGGAATCCTGCTGTAGCTCTGCCGCATCTGCCAGGAGAGAGGCCGCCGTGCTACCGGCCGGAATGTGAGGTAATGGACGCGACTGCAGCAGGGCTTCTGTAAAAGAAACACAAGTATATTTAAGCTTGTAATATTTATATTTAAGAGCTTGACTTTTGCCTATAAAACACCAAACTTTACGTTATCTTTAAAATAAATTTAATGCAGTTTTTGTTGTCATAGCATATCCTTAGTTTTCAGTGCAATAAATATCAAGACAATGCAGGTAAACCCGTTTTATTTTTTCAAAGGAATGCGGGCAATTTGTGGAGCAAGTGCTGGGTTTGAGGGAATAGCAGAGGGGCTGCTGCCCTGCTCTCGGTCTGCTCCATTGAGGGAATGGAATAAATTATGCATTAAGCGGCATAAAATTACACAAATCGTTGACTGCCAGCGGTGAACCAGGAATCCCCTTCCTGAACGAAGCGATTTTTTTTATTGTGGGAAGAGTTCTAACTGATTGTCAGCTCCGGTCTCCCTCCCACACACACATTGCTTTTTCTTTTTAACTGGGTATCCATAGCCATGGAGCCGTATCTATATCTTTGGGATGCATTCCAGAGCGGGGAATGCTGTACATTTAGATACCCAGCAATGCTAACAGAACTATTAAAAATATAGTAATAATAGAACCACTAAAGTTGAAAAGCTCATAACTAAGCCAGCATATATTGATTTATAGGGTCGAAAATGATTTCTTCATTGAGTTACAAGCTTCTGACTAAAATAATGATACCCTACAGAGAAAATAATAAACCTTTACTTAACTGGCCAGTAAATTAAGGATTTTCAAAGGTGTTCATATGGATTGCCATAACTTTTCCGTGTCCAAAGTAGTTCTAAACAATGTCACCATCCACTTTATGCTAAAGTTTCACTTGCTAGATCTTTTGTGGGATCTGTAAAACCTGTCTAGATCAACCTTCTATAATAGGGTATCTCTCTTTGTGTACCTTAAACTAGACTTTCGCTTTAGTGTCTCATTGAAATTATTTTACATTTCTACCGATTTTCCAACGTTTGACCAAAGCAAACACTTCCGTTGCATAAAATTCTCTCCACAGAATACATTATTTTTGTTTTTGGTGAAGTGGAAGTCATTGGTAGACCCGGTAATCTTTGGTTAGCAGTGTTGAATGAGTGAGTGGTTGTCCCAAGCACTCATAATCCGAACCAAATCATCATGTTTGCATTTGAGAAGGGTTCCCCTCATCGCACATTCGTTAATTTATGCGCGCGAGACAGGAAATATTAATAGCGAATAATAGGTATATGGAGAGTGGGTTCTGTTCGGTTGTGTTTATGGGGTATAAATAGGGAATACAGGGACAGAGATTAGAGCGGAAATGTTCAGCTCTCCAATGGTGGTCTCTGGGTTCCACCAAGATTAGTCCACTTTACATGCAGTCTCTATAGATCCAATATTTGAATTTTGGTGACTCACTCTCTATTGAATTGTGGAATTCGAGGCTACCTTTTGACTCATATTGTATTTTCTTCATTGGATAAATAATCAAGGAATACTAACTAGGTATATTGAGTCAGTTTGAAAGCTTAATTATTATTATTATCGGAATTAGGTGTAGATTGCTGTAATGCGAATCGTGTAATGACGATCCCAAGCGATTGTATAAGTTTATAGAGGTGGAACTTTGGATCTGCAATTATCAAAGTAATGTAAATCTTTGTTTTAGGTACCTGAAATGCTTTTTCTTCTATTAAATAATGTTTCTTTGTGTCGTTTACTTCTTCTGTAAAAAGTTATGATAGTTTCTCTCTGATATTATTATCATAGTTCATTTCTTCTCATCATTATGATTTTCTGTACTCAAAAAACAACCTAATCATTGTTCGGGAAGCCCTCTTTAATTATTACGAATGACATTACTTATTTGTATTTTATTTTTTTGTTGAATTTTTGTAGTTTGTTACCTAAGTTCATGTGATATTTGCCTGGATGGCTGCGAAAAGAGCTGTGCTTGGTACCTGCAGAAACGAAAGAAACAGAGACAGAGATTTGTGTGTGAGAGAATCTGTGGATTATCCAACTATATATCTAAGAAGGCAGGCAGATTTCGATGCAATATCTTTGGCGATGACAGCATGACTGACTACGAGATGTCGAGCTTAAATTTAAATCATAATAAACAAAATAATAAGGGCACTTAACCTAGGCATAACTCTAGAGTTAAGTAATACTACAATTATATTTATTTTATGTACAATATAGGACGATCTATTTACAGTTTGAGGAAAGGTGGATGGATGGATGGATGACATCAAAAGTGGGTCTTGTAACCGCAGAAAGGCCAATTAGCGACCCTGGTTAGAGCCAGAAGAAAAAGAGTAATAACAACATGATGATGATGGTAGCCAGCACTAAGTGCTGTGAAAAGTATCTCAGAAATTCTGGAAAACCAGAGAGAGACACGCCCCCCTAGACATTTGACAAAATAGAGGGGAACAAAAAGGGGGCAAGAAATATGTGGCCCATTCGGAGAGCTTAAGCCTCTGCTCAACCGGAATGGGTCCAATGAACTTTAAAGTCACAAAAATTCCACATATGCTCTGCTATGATGGGACTATGGAACCAGCAAAAGATACATAGAGAGATGAAACTAGAGACCCGACGACGTCTGAGAAGAAGCCATGCACATCCGCCATGCAGGTTATTAGCGTGAATTTGGGGCATCTCGACAGCTGAGAGCTGATTACGGATGAGATGATGCACAAGCCACCCCAAAATCTCCCCCCTGAGGAGCGTTCCACTCAGTCAAAAACCCCAAGCCACAAACCCTCTAACCCCCCACAAAAATAAAACCCACTCAGAGACTCAATGGCAAGTGTGTTGAGTAAGCACAGATTGAAATCAGTCGCCTCAGCAGCAGCTGTAAAGTAATGATACAAAATCAGGAATGGAGACTAACTTGAGGAAACCGATGGTTATATACCCTTGCAGTTTTCTAATAAATTATGGGGTCGAATCGGAAATAGATCATAATAAGGATTCTTTGAATACATATTTAAATGTATGTATAATAAATCTGCATACTCTATTATCAAATTTAAAAAATTAAAATTGTAAGTAAATCATTTTTTCAAATTTTGAGAAAATTTTTAAAAATTTATTTTTCGACGAGACAGGGCTAGATTGATTCGGATTTAATGCTGATCAAGATGATATATGATTTATAGGGTCATAAATGACACCTTCTAGAGTTATGAGTTTCTGACTAAATTTATAATACCCTTCCAAGGGTATAAAGATACAGTAGTTGCTGGTAAAAGATAATCTATCTCTGGCTTCTCATAATAAAATCCAAATATTATACGCTAGTTTATAACTTATTTCACATTATTTCCAAACAAAATGAATCATTTATTTCAGACCCAATTATGTTTTAGAATCCATTCTTGCTTACTTATAATCAAAACCAACTGCTAATGACTAATGCTTTCCACTCCCAAGAGATTCCTGCTTACTTAGTAAACACTGTGGGACCACAAAGAACTAGTACATAAACTATTGAAAAGCTTTTCACTACAGACTGGCAGCAGTTACTCATGGCAAAAGTGTCCCTCGAGATGTAGCCTTTGTTTGATGGCGTGTCCTTGTCTGCCATTTATTATCTAAGGATGCAAGCCATAATGGCTCTGCTCTTCAGCTTCAATGTCTGATTTATTGCCATGCATTTCCCTAGCTTTCCATGTCTGTCATTCATTCATTCTCATGTTGTTTGCGGGTTTGATTTCTGGACTGGCTCTCAGTTTTTATCTCATTTGAGTGCACGTTTTGCTTTAGTTTTATATTTTTTTCGTAGCTTTGTTGTATTTTATTTTAGCTGTCTGTTGTGTATTTTTTTTTACTTCTACGTATTTCTGTGTTTTCAGCTCAAGGGCTTTTGTGTCTTAACCTGGCAGGGATTTTCAGTTGGCCTCGGCTGCTTCAACACTCTACTTGTCGGATTTCATTCACATTTCGCCTTTGGCTCCCTCTTGGCCAGACATCCAGACACATATAGAAAGGGGCACGGTGGACCTCCTCACTGAAGAAGGAGGAAGAGGAGGCGTGGCCAGTCAACAGTAATAAACTTTTACGGTGTAAATTTAATTAGTCATTTCTCTGGCTTCCGTTGAGCCCAGTTGAGCGAGAATTGAGAGGGGAAATTCTAGGGGATTTGATTTCAGCTTTTGCCTCTGTGCCGAGAGGCCTTGGGAACTTTTCAATTTGGTTAAAGTTAAAAAGGGGAAAATAAAGGCAAGAGATACATAGTTGATAAAGAGAACTTTTTAATTTGAATTCATTTAAGTAAATAATGTAATCATGTTTCTAGTTAAAGGGAAATGGAATTGATTGTAGAGCAGCTTGTATAATTAATTATTTTATCATCTACATTCAAGTCAAGTCAAGGCTTAGAAATCCTAAACTAGATTTCTTTCTCTGCATCCAAAATACCTAATAAGAATGCATTTTTCACTTACTTTTCATGACCTAACTACACTTTTCCGAAGCGGAACTTTTGAAGCGGAACTTGAGATCATTAAGCTGACAGCCCCAACGATTAGAGCAATATTTATACATACATACATATACGCCCCGAAGGGAAATGGAAACCAAAAAGGGCCAGCTCTTTAAGGGAATTATGAAGAAATTAACCTAGAAAAGATACAAAAAGAGTTTTCCTCCCCAACATATGTATGTTTATCTTTGGGAATTTAACTAAAGTTTCCCATGTAATTTCCCCTGTTTTTTGTAAACTGACAGGAAAAAAAAGCAACTGGTAACGGTTGTAGGGAATGCCAGAAAAACTGTAAAAGAATTTAATTTATTCTTTGTTTTTTAGTGGGGGTTAGAAACTCCTGGGATCAAGTTCCTCCCGTTTTGCCAGTCAGAGTGCGAAAAAATGTTGTGCGAAAAAAACTACAGAGCAAGGAACCGGGATAGAAAATGCGAAAACAAAAGGAAAGTTATGTAAAGGCAACCAGCCGGAGGCTTCTCTAGGGGTGGCCGAGGTGGTGGCCAGGAGGATGACTTGGCCCTGCACTTGGAAAAAGGAATATGAAGGAAAAAATTATATATTTATATATATATAAGTATATATGTATGTATATAAAATCCACCCTTGGCTGATGATGACAAAAGGCAACTCTCCTTCCAATGGTACTCCCTTTGGCTGCCACCGGCAATTTTACCACTTTTCTAAGGATTCCGCACTCAAGGCTAGTGGCTGGGCTGACTGCCTTATGCTGAGCCCAAGGGGACGAAAAAGGACGAGAGCACAAGGACGAGGGGTGCTGGTAGCCCAATGTGACGTGTGACGCAGCCGGCCGCCTTCTATACACTTAAAAATAAAACACATGTGCGATATTTGTTTTGGAACAAATTTATGCTATTTGAATGAAACTATGGAGCTATTCTTCTATATAATTTTACTAGTAAATAAGTCGGAGCATGGCAAATCGGTGGACTATATATACATATATCTGCCATAAGGATGATCAATAAATAGCTATGATTAATAATTACCTATGAGCCGTAAGTAACTAAGAGCAGTAAGTAACTCTGAACAGTAAGTAACTAAGAGCAGTAAGTAACTCTGAACAGTAAGTATCTATGACCAGTACGTAACTATGAGCAGTAAGTATGTATGATCAGTTACTAACTTTGAACACTAATAAACAATGACTTGCAACTTTTGTAACACAAAACATATCTGAGACTTGGCTGGCAGCAGTCACTTCGTTCCGGGGATGATAGAACTAGTTGGGAATCATATGCACAGATGTGCGAGATTTGTTTTGGGACAAATTTAAGAGCAATCTATTTGAATGAAGCTATGGAGTTATGCTTCTATATAATTTAACCAGTACATAAGTCGGAGCATGGCGAATCGGTGGACTATATATATACATATATATATAGCTGCCATAGGAATGATCAGTAAATAACTATGATCAATAATTAGCTATAAGCCTTAAGTAACTATGAGCAGTAAGTAACTCTGAACAATAAGTATCTATGAGCAGTAAGTAACTCTGAACAGTAAGTATCTATGAGCAGTAAGTATCTATGAGCAGTAAGTATGTATGATTAGTTACTAACTTTGAACAATGACTTGCAACTTTTGTAACACAACACATTCCAGAGACTTGGCTGGCAGCAGTCACTTCGTTCCGGGGATGTTTGAACTAGTTGGGAATCATATGCACAGATGTGCGAGATTTGTTTTGGGACAAATTTAAGAGCAATCTATTTTAATGAAACTATGGAGTTATTCTTCTATATAATTTTACTAGTATGTAAGTCGGAGTATGGCAAATCGGTGGACTATATATATACATATATATATTAGCTGCCATAGGAATTATCAGTAAATAACTATGATCAATAATTAGCTATAAGCCGTAAGTAACTATGAGCAGTAAGTAACTCTGAACAATAAGTATCTATGAGCAGTAAGTATGTATGATCAGTTTCTAACTTTGAACACTAATAAACAATGACTTGCAACTTTTGTAACACAACACATATCTGAGACTTGGTTGGCAGCAGTCACTTCGTTCCGGGGATGTTAGAACTAGTTGGGAATCATATGCACAGATGTGCGAGATTTGTTTTGGGACAAATTTAAGAGAAATCTATTTGAATGAAGCTATGGAGTTAGGCTTCTATATAATTTAACCAGTACATAAGTCGGAGCATGGCGAATCGGTGGACTATATGTATGCATATATGTATGTATATAGCTGCCATTGGAACGATCGGACCATTTTAAGAACAAGTATGAACTTTTCCAGTTAAGGTATGGTCTTAAGAGTGAGTAACTTGCTATTCATCTGATTGTAGACTAAATATTTCACCTTATCCTGATAATAAAATCTATAAAATAGTTATCAATTTCTTCTTGTGTATCCATATACTTGATGGGAATCAAGTGTGTGCAATAAATACATATTAAAGAGCGACAGACAGAGTGAACAAAAAA